AAAACAAACCATATTCATGGACGAGGAGGGAATTGGAAAAGAGGGAAAGAGCTAAATGGAAGTTGTGCTAAGACGCATACAAATTGTAAAGACCGAAATGGCCGTCGAAATATCTACATGGGCAACATCATGCACTTATACTCAAATTGAATTGTTTCTTTGCCACCCTTTATTTCCCTTTAGTTCTAAAAATTTAGAAGGTATTTCTTTTATTTTTATTTTATTAGACCCTTCACCATATCTGCTGTGCGGACCTCAGTAGTCCCAGAACTCGATTCGCTTTCCTTGCATTCATTGCCTACAGAGGTCTCTGAACAGTTCGCGTGTCGTTTAGGCTGCTGCCTGAATGTTTCGGCCTTTTCACGAATGTCTTAGGATGTCGGTCAAGTTGATTCTCCTTGAAATCTCAGAGTTAGTTCCAATCTACACTGTGCCCACGTAGACAGGAAGACAGCTTTGGGAGAGGGACGAATCAACGTCTTGTTTCCTGATGTACATCACTATCCACTATACTAACCTCTATCTCACCATCCCACCCAGAGAGTATGGCTAACTGGCAAACTTTAAAGGAATTAACCTGCCATGTAGTAGTGAAGTGACTGCGTTATTTAGCCAACTTCATAAATATCAGTAGGGGCAAACAGGCTAATGTTTTTTTGGAATTATGAAGCCGAATATATTCGCTTCTGTCACGTACCAAAATTGCCCATCGGGTTCTAAAGCTGCAAGCAGTACAAAATTTATTGGCAAGGGTTTTCATGAAGAACTCTAACCATCTGTTCGTCATTGTTGTTGTGCACTTGATAGACCATGGAAGCTAGTGGGAAATCCTTGTCGAGCGGCTGATATTCACATAAAACATGATAGAGTTTATCTAATTTTCAATACCTAATCGTATATTTCAAACCCTAGCATCCTTAATCGTAGACGTAGGACGAAACCACTTCTTCCACGTCGTTTCATGCACTCCTAGCGCTGCTTGTTGATAGCGCGTTCGACAATGTTGAGTGGTCTTTCATCCTCAGATAGCCTCCGCATTTTCGAGGCGTATTGCTGTAATGAACCACGTCCTCATCGTTAAGCAACTGAATTATTGTGAGAGTATAAGAAGGTGATGTCTCATCTTCATCGACTTAACGGTGACCTTCGATGCAGTTGCAACGGGAATAATGATGGAAAGCGGACAACCACGGAGTCCTTACTCAGTACAGAATTAGTTACAAATTCTACAAATATCCTTCAAAAGCAAACTTCACAATCGGAATTTTCCCACATTATAACGACATTGTCATCTTTTCAGCACATTTAATTCTTGATAACGACTGTCTTTTTAAAGGAACTTGAGTCTCCAACACGCTTTTCAATTGAGTGATCGTTGTATGTCGGGCAGGTTCTTTTTTCGAGGCTTAAAAAGCTATGTAAAAGCGTACCGAGGCAGTCACTACAAGTTGACGCTTGTCTCTGTGGATCGGAGTAAGGCTTACCACCTTTATTCTAGGACGGCACCCATCTTGATACTCAAGAACGAGCGAAGGTTAGAGACAAATATTAAAGAAACGAACCTAACCATTTAAGCGTACAGTCTGATCAGGCTGATATATGCAGTCGCGTGAGAAGATGAAGTGTTCCAAGATGACGAAATGTGATATAACAGTGGGGCTTCCTCCCGACCGTTCAGCATAACGTAGGGTCGAGAAAGTTGAGAACAAAGGAACAGATGCTTCATCTTGAAACTCAGCTAAGTATTAAACAAGTGTCAACGTTGACCCTTCCACGTAGATCTAGCTTCAGGTGCAACAAATGTTGAGCCTGACCGGATGCTTCCTACTGCCTGTGCATACAACCAACGAGTAAAGCATTCAAGAAAAATGGTCGCTTCCATTTACACTGTAAGGCAAACAAACCTTAATTTTCTCTAGAGTCTCTTCTTGCCTTGAGAGTGATAGCAGAATAGATATTTTCAGTATTCGTCTATTTATGTTTTATGTATACGCTATGTCTCCCAACGGTTTACCGCCTCATCGTGGCTAGGAGGTGTTCCTAGGTGTCGGACTGCGATGTACAGCGGGAGGATTCGTGCTCCCGACAGGATCTCCCAAGCTGAGAAGGAGTCCGGCGTTTCCATCAGGAAGCCTAGCTAAGAGTAAACCAATACAAAGACCCACCACCGTCCTGTTATCAAAGTCGCATGGTGGCAAATCTCTCTCTGATCCACAAGGGCCACGACTGCCCGTCGTGGTGACAACCTGGGGCAGACTTTGGCCAGGCTGTCCTCGGGATTCCAGGGAACCACAATGGCTTAACCAGAAAATTTCCAAAAAATGGTGATTATTCAGGGGTCCGCACAACTAGTGATGATGGGCCGTTCAAGTAACAGGTATCAAGTATACGCTATGAAACCTATGGTAGGGTTATCCTTTTCACTCACATCAAAAAGTTTGGATAAACTCTAACGATTTGAACAAATAGGATTCAGACCAACTATGTTATTTTGTCACGCTTTTTCTTACTACGTTTTGTAGAGGGAAAGAACTTTTTTAAATTTTGTTTTAAATGATCCGGCCTCGTATCTACTGTGCTCATTCCAGCACTTCTTACATTCGATTCGTTTTCTTGCATCTATAATCCACGAAGGTCTTCCAGCTTTTACTTGTGGCTTCAGCTGCTGCTTGAGGATTTTCATTCCATCTTTAGTGTCGTAGAAACCATTCTCAGTCGAGTCGATCCTCCATTTTTCCCCGGACAAGTCCGGTACCAATTTCCCGACTCTGGAGATATGAGAGCTTGGGCGTGATCAGACCAGGACCGTGCTCGTGATGATCGGCATCACTGCCACTGTGCTATGTGCCTCTTGTTTCGCCACACTAATATCTGAATTATTGACATACGACCTGAAATAGGAACCGCTTATATACGAAACTCAAAATCATCGGACTTTAAGATTCATTCAAAACGACCATTCGTCTAACTACCGCAGGCACTACAGAGCTCGCGCAGAATTACAACCGCTCATAGTACGTCTCGCTGGCTCGTTACTATTGAAAGGTTCCATGAAGATACCAAAAATACAGAAATACATAAGAATGTAAAAGTACGACCGTGTCCCACTAGGTGTTCCTAGTGCATTGTGGTGAAGTGGGACAATGCTGTTCGTATTCTGGAAGCGAATCTCCGCCGTGAAAGCGCCACCGAGATTTGCCCGTGTTACCGATTTCGAGTGAAGCGGACTTCTGTCCGGAGGAAAGCGCGCTCTTTTCTGCACTTTCCACAGGTGGTATTCATTCACTCCGTGGATTTCCGGAACACTTCAGAATTCCTCGAACTAAGTAAGTTCCGGGCTAGGTCAATGAGCAGTGATTTCGTTTCGTTCTATTGCAAACATCATATTCTCGTTCAGCTCATCATATTCTAATTTACTGTTTTTCCTACTATCCTCTGTTGACTTGTAAAAGTGAGCGCATCTTGGACGTGAATGAATTCATACCAAGCCTATACCATGGCCTATCGATGTATTAGTTCAGTGTTTTTGTCGTCAAAGGCAACTCTAGCAGCCATTTTGCCAATCCCGGATGGATGGCGGTGTTTGTTTGCATGGATCCATGGCTGGAAGCAGTGACCTCGCGCGTATGTTATGTTACCCCACTAACTACTACGCTACAAGCGCCGTATTGAATGTTTAGCCATTTTTCTGCTTAGAAGTTTCATTGCTTTCTGGAACGTTCAAGATTTGCCTTCTCGTTCAGCGCACCATAAATGTTCTCCGTATGAAAAATCCTCGGCATGTTGTAATTTTCAAATGATTGCATAAAAGTCTGAAAAAGGTGCGCCATTTTGGAAGCGGAGCAGTTTTGCTCAGTACATAGCGCTTTAAGCTCTTGCGATGTCTGGCGTTTCTTATTCTTACCTTAGTAAAGGTGAGAATTTCTTTCCGGAACTGTTGTGTATTCCCACGACTGACGTTCTTTTAACCTCAACATTGATCAAATAATGCTTATACTATTGTTGACTAAACACAAGGTGTTATGTATTCCAAATTCACTAGCAAGCTGACTTTTCGGCTGATTTAGCCTTTTTCAAAACCTGGAAAGTTCAGTTGACCGCAATCTACGTGGCCAAACTCCTCCATGAGCAAACAGAGAAGGCGAAATTGGCTGAAACATCAGCGTACTGTTGTTTATGTTTACCGTTTACTTCGTCGATGGACTAGATTAGGCTTAAAGCGTCACCTAAGTGATAGATGAAACAATCTCCAGCGGTTGGTGGATCTACTGTTTTCGACAATGATCCTTAGCCATAGCTCTTGTGCTAATTTCTGTCCTTTGACGAACACTGCTTCTACTTTTAAAAAGCAACTAGTTAGTTCAAGTTTTGAAATCTGTTCACTTTTTCTCTTTACTGGAGTCGTTCTTTCGCTGCATGTCACTAAAGATTTTGACAATGTTATGACGTTGTCTTATTAAAATGCATGCTGTATATATATGGCGCAGTGGTTAGAGGCGCCCTACAATACACACGGGTTCGATCCCGCCCACCAGACTGACCAAGCATTACATCCACCTGGGATCTGGAGATTGGTACTAAACTTGTCTGGGAGGATAGCAGCAATGGCTGGCTACATTGGTAGGACACCCTGAGTCATTGCATCGTAAAGGCCAGATAGGGATTCAGTCACCTCTAAAGATGTTTAACGAAGTCGAATGCATGGCGCATCCCTCAGGGACTTTCTCTTTTATCCTTTTTATTCTAATGCTTTGATATCACTGTGATTTTCAGTTGAACTGAAACGAGCTGTTCGATGACTGACGGCAGTGATCCCGAGGCGTCGTTGAAGTCACTAGAGAGAAGTTGTAGCCCTCTGTACTACAAAAGAAGCACTGTACTTCAGGATTTTGGGTGAGCTGATTCTAGTTTGGTTTAAATTAACCTCAAAAACAGGTGCATTGATGTATTACTAGCACAACCTTTGCACAACGAGACATAATTTCTCATGCTTCTTGGCCATGTATTCTCTAACTCTTTTGGTTAAAGATCCAATGATTCCTAATCGATTTCTCAAAGCGCTAAGGTTAGGTTACTCCGTGGAAATTTTAGCCCATCTAAGAATTGGATTCATTCTCCAAGTATACTTTATAGTTTCTTCTTTATAGCAAGGTTTTAGAGTCATCGTCATTCAAAGTTGGTTTACTGTTCAAATTTCATTACTAGGTCATTCCAATAATTCGAGCTTATCTCAAAAATGCTGTTCTACAACTCGTGCTCACCTATACTGTGCATATGAGCCTTTGATCCCACTTGACACTGGAAGTTTAGTGAGACATAAAAAAAAGTTTTCCAGGTGCTATGAACTGAAAGTGTTGGTAATTTCGCAACTTAGCTACGTTCCTATTACTTGTACCATGTTATCAACTGCGTTTTATGAACCTAATCAGGTTTGTGGCTTTTTATATCTTCATCACCACATTTTTTCCCTATAGTGGCCTTCATAAATCTCTATATGGAAGAATAATTTGTTGTTTTGATTTTCAAGACTACTTGTATTTCTCTTAACTTGGCGAAAAATGGATCAAGCAGAGAGCCACAAGAGGTTTGAAAGTGTTTCCTTGTTTGTTTTGTTCACGTTTTCGTTTCCTTTGGTATTTTATACTAACTCCCTAGAAGGTTATCCCTCTAAGGCTAGGGATTTTCTGGGCATTCATCTGCAAGGAACAGCGAGGATTTGTCTGCTAGTAGGGTCATGTAAGCTAGAGAGTTCGATATTTCCATCCCAAAACCCACCTGTGAGTAAACAAATCCCTAAAGTCATTGCTATCCCGGAACAAACCCAATTAAAAAGAGCCAGTCCTCTTTGCAATTCACATGAGCTTTCTGTTGTCTGTTGTGATCATTTTTGAGCTTGCTGTTACGGGATTATCTGGAGTTTGAGGAAAAATGTTGTCACAAGTACAAACGTAGCAGTTAGGAAGATTGTGTCGTCCCGGACAGTTCTTTGTGTAGATAGGCTAGCTACTAATGGATTTGTCAAGTATTTATTGACAGTAATTGCGGAATATTAATGCATAATAATTTACTACTTGGTGAAAATAACAGAAAATGTTATAAATCGTATTTTCCATGTGTAAAGATTCTGGGTAAGCACGACATATGTGTTTAAGGCGATTGAAGTTGACTTCACGTCCTTACTATTCGAATGGGATGAAGCTTGCCAGAATTCTGTTATAACCGCCGTAATGTCTACAAGCTTAATGGTTGGAGCACTAATGGGTTCATTTTTTGCTGGATGGTTAGCAGATGCCTATGGACGACTACCTGTGTTGAAAGGTGGCCAAAATTTTTTACAGTATTCTTTCTTAGATGGTTAGACATTTTTGTTGAGCAAACACGGGGTGTTACTTTATTCTTTATTCCGTTAAAGCTGACGTTTCGGCAGTATCGCCTTCTGAAGAGCCTGGAAAGGTATATTTGTACTCGATTTACTAGGCCGAACGCATCAGTAAAGAACAGAAAGATGAAAATCTCAATGGCAATCAAATGATCAACAGCTTCTCGAGAAAGCCACCGTTTTATGCATGCCTTCCACTGAGGAAAAACAGCTGATTAGAGTTGCATATGGTATATCCCGTACTGTATCCTTACTATTTACAACTCTAGCTAACTGTTCTTCCTCCGTGAAAGGCAGGCAAAAAACGGTGGTTTTTTGGAAAAGCTGTTGATCATGTGACTGCCTTTTAGATTTTCATCTTTCTGTTCGTGTTATTGAAGCGTTTCGCGTGGTAAGCTGTGTATGAGTTTACCCTTCCAGGCTCGAGAGAAGACGATACTGCTGAAACGTCAGCTTTAACGGAATAAAGAATAAAGTAGCACTTTGTGTTTGCTCAGCAAGAATCTCGAAAACTATTTGATCAGTGCCGAGTTTAATGGGAAGTCGGTCATGGGATTTGTTGTTGTTGTTTTTTTTTCGTCACAAGAACATATCTTTCATTTCTCCGTGCCGGTCATGGCGTGTGGATTTAAATACATGCGTTCAATCACGATTTGTAACGAGTGAAACGATTTCTAATCTTAATCAAACCATAGTTTCCTCCAGATAGCAAATATTCGAATATATTCTGTATTTGTTACCAGCCTGTCTTCTGCTCACATGCATTGTAAATGGCGTGTTTTCGTTGGTCGCTACGGCATCAAGGCCGCTTTCAGCAGTGTTTTTGTTCATACTTGGGACTGGATGTGGTGGTTACATGGTAAGCTAATGATTATTAAAACATACACAACGATGCCCCTATTGCGCACGCGGCATGCATTGAAATCATTGCATACAGTTCATTCCTTCCGCCCACAAAATTTGTGCATTTGGGTCCATAATTCGATTTTTCAACTCATTATTTCTTTTGCTTTCCATGCTTTACGTGTTGTCGATATTATGTTATGCACTTTGCTTTTGAAGCATATTTAACTCAAATGTGTGATGTAGAAGAAGAGCCGTACACCATCCAGTGTTTTCTAGGATTTTCAAAGCATATTTCCATATTTTTTAATGTTCTTTTTTCTTCAAACGTACTTCAATCCCATACGCTAGCAATGAAGCATTGGTTGGAACAGAATGGAAATGGAACAACACTCAATTGTTAATCAAAAATTGAATCATATTCACTTGAACCATGCCGGAGGCAGTAAGGTTAGGCTCCATTTTGATCCACTATTCATGAAACATCGATGAATAACCTAAAGCATATGGGAGCATCAGGACAAAGATGATAGCGTAGGTGGTGTGAGTGGTCGGTCACTGTGATACATAATCACCGTTGAATCTGCAACAATTGGAAATTTAGAGTGGCTCCAACACTCATTCTTGAATACACAGAGCAAATAAGTCATTACGAATTGCTTATGGGTGATATGTGGAGTCTTCGAAGAGGAATATGAATAACACAATTCAAGTGCAATGTGAATCCTGGGAAGAGAAAAAAGGACACTGGCAACAGTGGGAGAGGTGGAGAAATTCACTGATCTATGCTTTGAGTTAAGATTTGTCAAAATGCCAGGACTCAGGGATTATTGGAGCACCTCTTCCACTTTTGTGTCCATTCTGGGGCCAAGGTAATGATAAGGTGCAATTTTGAAGTGCTGCTGGTTTATTTCCATTTGGCCGACAATGCACCATGTGGTGTACGACACGACAAGTTTTACAAGCTCTGCAACCATTTATCAAGCATTTGGCTAGAATTTGCAAGTGTGTGAAGATTGTGTACTGCAAAGTTTGCAGAACTGTACTAGTTTTAAGTGTATGTAAACTGTATTCAGTAGTTGTACAGCGGAAAAGCTGCGGGTTGTCGTGGTTGTTAGTACTGTGTAAGATTTTTTTATTTTTAAAATCTTTTAGATTGTAAAGCAAATATTTTTCAGATCAATATTTGCTTCAGTGAGATGTTTTGAGAATAAGAATTGAGATTATCTGGTATTTCCGAAGGTGCCGTCCCTGCAGCGATGGGTAGCCACTGTGAGTACAGATAGGCCTAAAACTGGTCCCTCTATCATGCTGTTAAAACCTCCATAAGTTTAAAGCTTCACTGCACTAATAGAACAGAACTACTAGTTCCACTTTGAAATTCAGTTCGGACGAGTAAACTCTTCCGGGAAAAGATTTCTGAGAACTGTGGAGTGTTGACAATTGTTTTTGATTAGCCAAGCTTATCACACTGTGTTGTGTAATTCAATTTAAAATAAAACGGAAAGCAAAAGACTATTGCCGGCAAAAGAAATAACCGAGGTGAACGTTGAAGTCAAAGCAAGCGGCCAATTGTCTGTAAAGAAAATGTTTATTCTTTTTCACATCGCATCAGACACTGCAGTCAATTCGATGTTGTGGTCTCACAAACGCTAACACACGAAAGGGAACCGTTCTAATCTAAGCAAGTTGTGAAGTACATTTAAGGTGACTAACCTTGTGCTGCTAGTTGAATGTTTGGATCGTCCTCGGTCGAGACTTCTAGCAGTGTCGCTGAATGGTTGGAGCATCTCAGTGGTAACTTTCTTCTCCATTTTCGTTCGGTTTTTTAGCTTATCAGAGTTAAAGGTGTATAGGAAGAGTGATTCATGTAAAAATGCAATCATTCTTGTTTCTAAACCACATATATACATATATAGCCACAGTCTATATACATATATAGATATATACATATGTATAGATACACTTACTTGGATGCTTGGATGAACCATCATCATTGGTTGTGCGGACCTAAGCATATTTTCCACTTTTTGGAAGTTCTGCTAGTATAGCTATTGTGGTTTCGTGGAGTCATGAGGTGATGCTAGCCGAAGTCTGCCCCAGGTCGTTACCACCATAGGCAGCAGCCGCCCTTATGGATGAGGGGGAGGTTTGACACCACGCGACTAGTTTGATGCCAAAACGGTGGTGGATGCTCCTATTGGTTTAATCTCAGTTGGGTTTCCTGATGGAAACGCCGGACTCAGCATAAGAGGCCTTGCTGGATGAATGAATTTGCCCGCTGTCCATCGCAACCCGACACCCAAGAACACCTCAGCTACGAAGAGGCGCTAACTGTTAGGAGGGATCGAACAGTTACATATATATATATATATATTTATGTATGTGTATATACATATACGTATGTACATACAATCTATATGTATGTGTGCATATACTTACTTGGGTATTCGGACGCTTCACAAGTTATGCGGACGCCAGCACATCTTCCATTCGTTTCTTTCCTTCTCAATCGTCGTCACATGGTGGTTGTTTATCCGAGCATGGTGATGGGCGCGAGTCTCATACCGTGATCTATAAAGCAACTGCGGCTGCGATTACACCTGATTAACTTTTGTTACGAACACGGCATATGTTAATGTAGTATTGATGTAATACTATATATGACGGTATTATAGACACGGTATGTTAATGTATTTTGGTTGTATGTGCATATATATGTATGTGTATATACACATGTATATACATATATATATATACATATATATATACATCTATATATGAAGTAATCTAACTCCCGGTTACTACCACTTGGTTTTTCAGGTTTTCGTTGCTTTGCTAGCTTGGGTCTCACAACACTGGTTTCTATTTCATCTCCTTGTTGCATTTATGGCGTTTCTGGCTTTTCTTTCATTTGTAAGTTCTATCTTTTTGCTTAGTAGTACCATTTGAACCGGATCTTGATGGAGCAGAGGAAGTGGTGGGCTCTGCAGTTTCAGTGAACTAATTATTTCCGAGAGTAGATCAACTGTTTTTGCGATGTTATTATGAGCCTGATGCAACAACGGCGTTCCTATGTTTGTGTTACCAGTAGCGTTTCATGGCATGAATGAAACCTTCATTAAATTGTTGTATGCTTGCAGTTGTGTAAGGTTCAGCTTGGTTCATATAGTATTTCTGACTGTATACTTTTTCTTGGCTTTTCAGCAGTTCTGGGTTTTGGAAAGTTGTCGTTGGTTGGCTGGTGTCCATTGTGCAACAAAGGCACGTCACACTGCTATTCAAGTTATGTTATATCGTTCAAGGGAATTACGGTTTGGAGATGGTCAGCGTTTGCACACTTGTTTCTTCATTATTTCATAGTTCAGTGTATATTACGCTGTTTAGATTGGCAGTGGTGGCAAATACTTGGATTCTCCGAGCCGGTTATCTCTATGCCAAGTTCGAAGCATTTATTGAGAAAGTACACGTATTCAGACCTTTTCAGGTATTACATATATTTCTTAAGAATTAAACTTGGTTTATGTTTTCTTCATAAGGCACTTTTTTACAGTTTTTGAATATGCAAACAGTTCGTTGTTTGATAGATCACGACATTATGCATTGTGGCCCGTGTCGACAGATCACTTCGCCTTTCAGATTTAAAGAAACACGTCTGAGTTGTTGTACTATTAGGCTTTATTGGTGTAATTGCTATTAGAATCCACACATCTTTACTAACGAAATACAGATTTGCCTTACGATCTTGTTGATCTGATGGGAGGTTAGTGTGGTTATCGTTGTTGTTGTTGTTGTTCTTGGTTGTCCGAAGTTTCGCCGATTTCCCCTTCCTCAGAGCCGTGTTCTTTCGAGTGGGACTCGGGTGAGACATCACGGCTGTGGGGAAGGCGAAATCTCCAAAACATCAGCCATAGACCAACAGCAACAACAATGAAGACAAGTGTACCAACCTCCCATCAACTGAATAAGGTCAGCTCATAAGAACAAATAAATAAATATGTCGAGTATTTATAGGGAGGGTTATAGAAAGTCGGCCTTTCGATTTATTATTGGCTATTCTTTCATATTCCTCCCAACGGTTTACTGCCTCATCGTGGCTGAGAGGTGCTCCTGAGTGTCGGATTGCGATATACAGTGGGGGATTCACCCCTTGGCAGGGTTTCCCAAGCTGAGAAAGTGCCCGGCGTTTCCAGTATAAAGCCTAGCTAAGAGTAAACCAATACTAGGATCCACCACCGTCCTGGTATCAAGTTAGTCGCATGGTGGCAAATCTCGCTCTGATCCGCAAGGGCTGCGACTACTTGTGGTGGTGAAGACTTGGGGCAGACTTTGGCCAGTCTGAGGTCGGGACTCCAGGGAACCATGATGTATTAACCAGCAAATCTCCGGAAAATGGTGATTATGCTGCGGCCGGCAAAACTAGTGATAATGGACCGTTCAAATATCGAGTAAGTAAGTATTCTTTCATGCCAAAATCCTAAGTTTTTGGAACCCAGTACCTTTCTTCACTTTTCTCGTAGAATATCTCCGGAGAAAAGCGATTGAAACAAAAGTGGGATTTCGTATACCAAAACACGATGGTGCAGTATGTCATTATTGTTTCGGCTAGCACGTTCGTGTGAAAAGTTAAAAGAAAACAACATTTATCGCGTTAAATTTCTCTTTCTTTGCCTCTGTTTAAGAGGAAGTTGGAATAAACTAGTGTTAATTAATTAAGAAGTGGTGTTCCTGAAGAAAATTGTGTTTCCGTTTTTACGATAGGTCAAAGTCTTTCTTGTAACACTTTCGAGTCTGAAAGATATCATATAACCTCGTTATCGTACGACAGTCAACGGTACTCAGAAAACCAACGATGCGACTCAAAACATTTCGTTTTTAATTGACAAGTTTAGGTCAAATTCATCTTTATAGTTGTTGAAGTGGTCCACTCACTGGTTGAAGGACTGAATTTTTGTTGTACTTACTTATTGACGAATGATGTAAAACCTCAGGGTTTATTTATAATTAGATTCTTAATGAGGTACTTTTTCTATCTTTGATACTTTCTAACATTAGTTTCGTTAAGACACTCGTCAGTCTGCATTCCGCTTCTATCGCTGTGTTACTGCTTCATATCGTCTTCTTTGGTGTCATTTGGGTTTGTTAACATTGTTTTATCTTAGATGAAATTTCATGTGGAATATTTCATTATATCTTTACTATGTTTGTATTAAGAAGAACTAAAAATGTTGGTTCGTATACTATTTGGTAGTACTTAATCGCTTATGATCTACAATACCACTTCAGATTCTACTTCAATGCGGATGCCTTGCCAGGAAATCGTTATGTGAACATGGTTCTTATGGGTGCATCGAAATTCGTCATGGGTTGTTCTATTCTATGGTTATGTGCTTTCTAATTTTTTTTAACTACAATTTGTTTAAGGCTTGATGCCCTTTGCCGTCTCGTCATGGGTAGGACGTCGTCCGATAATGTTGTTCTCTGTTGTGATAGCCAGTGCTGGGGCTTGGTTTGCGCTGACTAGGTAATCGGATAAATCAGTATTGCAAAGAGGTTCTCTAAACCTTTGTAATGTTGAAATGAACGCAGGAACTTATCTGATCATTTTCTTCAGTCAACTGCTTGCTGTTTCGTCTGGACACTGGTCTTTGACAGCAGTATCACTGGTTGTCTCAGCAGCACTTGATCCTGCGTGGAAGATAAACCACCTTTATTCTGCTGAACTTTTCCCAACCGTCGTACGGAATATGGCGCGCGCCATATGTAACGTCGGTTCCAGATTCGGATCAGTTGTTGCGCCAATGGTTAGTCTTCTTTTTGAAAGTATTCTATTGTTACGCGTGTGGAGCATTGGTCAAGGTAACCTTCTACGTACATGGGTCGTTGATTCGATCTCCATTCTCGATTGAACCAGGCCCCATCGTCCCCCGATCAATAAATTAGCAATCAATAATTAATCTACATAAATCTCACTAGGGTGGTAGCACAATGGTAGCGGTGGCGATCATTACGCGCACGGTGTTCGATCCCACTGCGAACTCATCAAACCTCTCACCCCTGCGGGGTGGGGAAATTCATACCGGGCTTGTCTGGGCAAGGTCCACTCTCTGCAGTCAAATTGGGAACGGTTTATCCCTACTATCTCAGGACTCCAGAGAGAATCGATTCGACCAGCCTTCAGCGAGAAAGTGGGAGAAGAAAGATCTTACGAATTGCCCTTGTTGAGTTGACGCGTAGTTAGCATTGGCTTTTGTTATTATCATGATTCAGTGGCTGACGTTTCGGCGATTTCGCTTTCTTCAGAGCCTGAACGTGTTTTATGTAACACTAAGTATATAATTTTAACTTATTATTTACTGCCTAGCCTTTTTTTAACGGCAGGGTATATTGCGAAATATAACTTCAATGATGCTGAGATATTTGCATGGTGTGGTGGTTACTCCCCGGAAGGACAATAGCGCGTTCGTTCTTCACCGCAGACACCTGCGGTCTGGAGTTTTGCAAATAACTTAGTATATAATTCGGTGAGTTATCTCAAATATTAATGAAGACAACGGAGAAGATTTTGAGGTAGGAGTCACTATCCTTACGCAGGAATCGAAAACATCAGCGCGTAAAACTCTTGAAGCCTTTTGGATCAATGCCAAAAATTCAAAAATGAACCGCAAGGAGGAGTGTCTTGTCATCACGCGTGACCTGGCGCCATACCTCAGGCTGATCCAATGACCTGACATGGACACAGTTATCGACCATGTATTACTCTGTGCGGCGGCTATCCACCAACTAACTTAAATACTTACAACAAATAAACGGTAGGTGTTTGAATGAAGCTGTTTCTTATGCGAATACAAATCGATTTATCAAGTTTTATCTGCTGGGGTTATGAAAGTGCTTGGCTGAGTAGATCGCATCTCAATTTGACCTTTCCAGGCTCTGAGGAAGGCGAAGCCGCCGAAACGTCAGCAATTGTGTTCTAATAAATTCTATATTAACAACCTCGTGTCTGCTTATTGATGAAAAACATTGAATTATCAATTAATGCCGAGGTTAACAGAAAGTCGGTCATGGGAATAATGAAGACTTAGTCTATAAACGCGACTTTGTTGAAAGCTACCCACCATTTTGTCAGGTGTGAGACCACACGTATGTTAGTCGCTCGTGGTGACAAGTGAAACACACCAGATCAAAAGATAAGTCTGAGAAAATGTGGCAGGTCTAGTGTAGTAGTATAGCGCTCTTTTTGATCCATGTTTGAGTTTTGGAAATTAATGCAAAATGCCTCAAAACTTTTTCACGTTAATGTTTTTGATTCTTGCGTCTGGATCGTGAGAGGCACTTCAAAATCGTCAGTGTTGTTTGTGCCTTTGTGTTCCATGTGTAAAGGTTTTTGTGACCTTTTCGTCCTACTATTTATGGTGAGTTTCATTGGAAGTCGGTCTTTGGGTTATTACACTAAATTTGTCTCAGAGGATAAAAAACATGATTCGATGCATCAACGGGCCCCTGACTGTCATAGTGGACGCCACTCTAATCACCTCCATGATACTTCAAGAGAACGAATGCATGCTTAACCCTAATGGATCGATTAGGGTGGAAAGCATAATCATTTCTCTTTATTTTTTGTTTTTTAAATGCTATCTTGGCTTCATGCGATTACTACCTGGAAATGACATTGGTGCGTCAAATCCCTGAACATTGGGCCACCTCTAAGTGACTGTTGGTGATTTCGTTATATTACTTACTTTTTCGTAAAATATAGGAGGTTGGGTCTTGAAACAACAACAACAGTGTTTTAACCTTTATTTGCTGCCTCTTTTTTTTTCTTACTTAGTATGATTAGAAATAAAACCAGAGGAATGCTGGGACCTGCCAAATCATATTCCAGCATTCAGGTGGTTGTGTTTCATAACAACAGCATTGTTGAATTCATTCATGTCTGGCATATTTATCTCATATTTTACCTTGTAGAATTTTGTTATAGGTGGTTCACTTACGTGCCGTACATTATCTGTTACCGTATCTCGCGTTCGCGTTGTTTCTCACTGTGCAAGTCCTCGTTGTGGCAGTGTTTTTGCCAGAAACCAAGGATCGACCACTTCCTCAAGAGCTACCTGAAACGAGCACTAACCGGCAGGATGAACAGATGATGGAGCAGAATCCGAACGTGCAGAGTGCTTAGGATAGTTAACCTCTGTTCACCGGAATTTTTCAAACCTTCAAATTGTCTTCGTTACCACAACTATTTTATAGCATGTAGTCTTTTGTCATGCCTATTGGTGTTTTTTGCCATAGAAAAGTACACCTAAATTGAATGAGCTCCTCATTATTCATTTATGAGGTTGTGAGTAATATTCCTCTATGGTATTACAAAATTTTTCTCCGCAAAACTCCCTTATAAAATAAGCAAGGGTTTCCGTGTGGGAGTATTAGACATAAGACGTAGATTTCTGACTTAAGTGGAAAACGGCTAGTATGGAGGGTTTTTTGTATTTTTTAAAACTAAAAGTAAATTTTTGACTTAGTCGTTAGCCGAACAGTTTCTATGGTCTTATAAGGGCCAATAAGTGACCAATTTCCCGTTAAACTTGATGTCTGGAAGGAGCAGGTGTTGTTGTTTCACATAAGGAGAAAAGTCGCTTCCTTGTGTATATGAAAAGGTGAACTATGGATTTGAACAGACCACAGTCGTTCTTAGCGCCATCGGTGTCACTGTTTTGTTTGAGTCATCTTAACTTGCCATTTTAACTGTTTATTCCACCCAGATTTACGTGTGTTAGAGCATTTCCGGTTATGCTAACTTCAGTGGTCTTTTATCGTTCATGATCAATTTCGTTAAATTCATGAGATAACATTCAGACACATGCCGCTGCTATTCAATCCAGTCGTTTTTTGCACAGGTTGTTTTGCTTTAACGTAATAAGTCTTTGACTGATACTTATGGTTTCTTTTGTTTTTGTGGTTTGTTTGCTGTAATGTGCAATATATGCAGTTCTATGTGCTCTATGCTTTCTGGTATCTTAACCTTTGAGTTCTTGTAAACCCTATGATAACAACTGGATATCGTATTGACTTCTTTTGGGATGGTCTTTTGAGCGGTATATTTATTTGCCTTTATTCGGCTTTAAAATATTTTTTGTTTCTAAGTGTTCTCTATGTACTTTTGAGACTTCTAAATGAATTGAAACTACTTTTTTTGCATACACACGTCAATTTGCCACAAGATTCTAATTCGGATGATGTAGAAAGCCCGTTTCTGTTCAGGGACAAACAAGGCGGAAGGAAGTTGAGGATTTTTATTGACTTGCACGAGGTTGGTAAATCTTATTCAGCTGACGTCACGACATCTTCATCTTCATTAGGGTCGAGGCTTCGGCTCCAACTTTGTGGAAGCTTGTCAACTGAAGAATACATGTTGGCTAGTCATACCGAGGTTAAAGGAAAGTTAGTTTTGAGATGTTGATTGGGTCAGAACGTGGCGGTTGCTCAGGTATTCGGAGGCTATCTATTCGATGGTCTGTTATGTCGACTGGAAACACGAATATCGTCGTGTGTGTTTCGTCGTATGTTGAGAGTACTTTCGAAGTATGTTTTCTAAGATCACACAGTTTGTTGGGCGGTTATTATTCCAGCTTGTATTCCAACGTTGTCCAGTCCCTTCGCGGGATTTCTTGTTGGGTCGTTCCCATAGCGAAGCTTTTCCAAGACCACAAGAACTAAATGAACCGACGAAAGAAACACGGTATGTCGGATGAGTGCGATCTGGTGACCATAAAGCATAGGTAGTTGATGGCCAGTGTACGTGCAGATCAATAAGATCGGTAAGATCGATTGGTGTGCTGGCATTTTCATACTTTCGTAGTATGGGTTGTTTGTCACTCGAAAAGTTTCGAGTGTAGTCCAGGGTGCGATCATTTGCCTTTTGTTACAGGGTCTTCGTCCTTATGACAATTACTACTATAATAAAAAAAAAGGTTGAAGTGTGCTTTATTGATTCAAGAAGTTATATAAAAAAAGGATAAAATAGATAGTCTGCCTCACTTCTCAAAAGATATACGTCCAGCTTCTGAGTTTAGTTGACGGCCGCGTAGGTCGATCCTCAGTTTCCTTGAAAGACGCGATGAATTGAAAATACAGAGAAATATCTGCTGAAGAAGAAGTCGTTGGAAAGAATATGAGCTGAGACTGATTCATATGGACCGGCCTTTTCCTCACGTATGAGCTCAGTTCAATTCATTCAATTCAATTCATTAGGTGTTAAATAGATGTTACGGAGTAGTAATAAAAGACTGCCCAAGGTTAGTAGTACATGTGTTGTGGATGGAAGCAAACGACCAACAGTTGGGTTGAGGTCGGACGTTTGTTCTTAGTGGCGATGGCATATAAGCTGTTCTCTGCACACGGTCTGTCCAGCTTCGATCAAATCGGGGAGCAAAGAACATTTTGGTGGCAACATGTTTTGACCGCTGAATGTTTATAGGAGACGGCAGGTGCGTAAGTTCCCTTCTATATCGATTTTATTTTGATATGTGAATTTCATCGAACCAGGAGTCTCTCAAGATGGTTCTTCAACGGTTTGCCGTTAAGGCATTTGTCCATGACTCAGGTTGACTCAGGCTCCTATGAAGAATGTCGTGCTTTAGTCGGTCGTTTGTGGTTTCTGTTTTTGTGTAGTTCTATTATACATCTTGATTGAAGCCGCCGAACATTATTAGTCGGAAGCTTGGTCGTCTCAAAAGTGATAATCTCGTCCGTTTAGAAACGCTATTAGCGGAAAAACCCATGACGTGAAGGTTTTCGAGTGTAAGGGTTATCGACACCGTCTGTTTGCACATCGTTTTTTCTGGAAGCTCTCTTCTTTTGATTGCTTTAAAACACATTTCCTTGTTTTATAGACTTTTTCATGGGTAGATCGTTGAGCTCACTCGGAAAAGAGATTTACCATAGCAATAACACTAACATAAAATGAAATTCTCCTCATTCCTTAGTAAATGTGAAGTTTTTCTTCAGTTACGCAGTTATGAATTGATCATTACTTACTTACTTGATACTTGAACGGCCCATCCTCACTGGTTGTGCGGATCCCAGCATTATCTCCAATTTTCAGAGATTTGCTGATTAAGCCATTGTGGTTCACTGGAATCCCGAGGTCAGTCCGGTGAAAGTCTGCCCTAGGTCTTCGTCACCACAGGCAGTCGCTGCCCTTGTGGATCAGAGGGAGATTTGCCACCATGTGTCTTTGATACTAGGACGGTGGTGGATCCCGGTATTGGTTCATTCTTAGCTAGACTTCCTGATAGAAACGTGGGGCTCCTTCTCAGCTTCGGAGACCTTGCCAGGGGATAAATCCCCTGCTGTACATCGCGGTCCGACACTAAGGAACACCTCCCAGCCACTATGAGGCGGTAAACCGATGGCACGAATTGATCATTAGTCATATTATTTGCTAAATCTCCTTCTTTGCAGATATCACATCTCTGAGCTTGTATCTTCCGGAAAACTTAGGTTTCATTCATCCATTGAAAATTTTAGAAGCTTTTCATTGTGAAGTCTATTCTCGAATTTTCATTTTGTTCTTGTTTTGGATGGTTCATTTCTCTCACTAAACTGCTAGAACTGCCTCCTCCGTGTTTTTTTTTCCTACAGATCGATTTCTGTACCAGTTTTTTGCACAGGTTGTGTAGTGTTTATTATTATCCACATCATGATGTCAGAAATTTTCATTGCCTTTCTTGTTTATATTTTATCTCTGGTTCATATGTCATGTAATAGTTGGTGATTCTTCGTAGACGATTCAGTAGTGGCTCATAAATGGCAGGGTTATCCAACCTGGTAACAAGATCCATTCGGAAGCACATCTAAGGGTGAATCAATGGTAGGAAGCACTGCCGACCTGGAAGAAAATCTGTTGTAAGGTGAGAAGATCTTCTAATTCACAAGAACCAAACTGTTTGTGGTGACGACGTGGGAAAGTGCAAACGAGGCTATCTCCGGTTATCAAAGTTAATTTGTTCGCCATCTTACAACATACCGGTGAGTTTGAGTCTTCCTGGAGTCCGAAGAGTTATTGATGAAGATTGTCCCTTCAAGTAGTCAAGAAAGGGCTCACTTGGAAAGAACGTGCACTGACAACATTCACATCGATGTGGCTCTTGGTTCGATATCACACTAGCCTGTCGAATTTTCGTTTTCACCAGCGTCAATAGATGGTCGTCAAGGAGATTTTTTTATGAAAAACGAACAACCGAATGGTATTGGTTCCATTATGAAACACTTTATTAAGAGTCGAGCTCTATATTTATTATGTCTGGCACATCTACTAAAGTGTCCTAGAGAGGTTGAACGTGAGGCGAATGTCCTAGGGCATTATTATGACGTTAATTAACTCTAGAAACTTTGAAGAGTAGTTATCTCTATCACTATTACTGTTTGACATGAGCTGCTTACTGTCCGTCCACTCTGTAAATGGTCGTCGTAGACGATGTCTACATCTTCCTAAGGACTACATTGTTCTTCTCCTCCACGTCGTGAACTATTTTAATCAAACTAAGCGCGCACCTATATTTGCTTCCGATGTGGTTACAAATCCCATCCATGGGATATTTTGCAAAATTCGCAATTTAGATATCTGGTAAAGCGTTTCCTTTATAACAGAAAACATCGCTTTGTTGGTGATTCTCAACGGGATTGAGGTGTTAGGCCTTGATATCTTGGAGTCATAGCAGGGCATCGTGAAAACGTTTGAGTTGAATGACTGGATACTATTTGTGTCGGTGATCTCGTTAGTAGCTTCTTTTGAATGTCCGAATGCAATAAGGACTGCAGTTTATTGTGTTGTCTTTCAAAGTCCGCCTCCTCGAACCTCATCCGTTCTTCATGAAAATGTTGCGGTATTATTAGTAGAATGAAGATTCCCACAAATTCGCACATATCTTTTGTCGAAGTATACAATTTGAACAACTATGGCAAAATGATATCGCCATCACATGTCTACTTTCCTGAGATGATAGTAGTGGTAGAACCTTTATCAGTTTTTGTGTGACATGGGCCATTATTTGTCCAAAAAATGCATTCCATTGTTGACGAGCAGTTATTCATAGTCGAAAGAAAAGCAAGGGAGCAGAGTCCTTCCTGACCCTAGCTAAGTCCAGGGTGTGGTCCATACGGCAGAATT